AACCTACAAGATAAACAAGGACATCTATTGTATAGGCCGCAGTCTAAATGTACGGTGTAAACGCAGCCAATGCTTCGAAGCGTTTTGTAGCGTCAAGTGGATCGCAGCGTCCGCAGCCCTAGTTACATAATGCAGGCATCATGAACGTGTTGATACCGAATTGTTCAAAGATGGTCGGAGTAATGCCGTACACCTGTAAAAATGCATTACGTCAAGTGAGTGTCTGCGAAACAACGGACTCGACATCGAGATACGATCTTTCACTCATTTGTTTACGCCTGATGCAGAGCGAATTGTCGTCAGTTCTACAATAACGAGTATCATATTAGAGTGTTGTGACATGTCTTTGTTACTTTTCTTTCTGAACTTCCAACTTTGTATTTAAGATAGAACGGTATCACAAAAGTGTCAAGTCCTTTGTACCGATTTAATAATTAAAAATTATTTTTTTGTCAATGTGAAGACTGGTGTTAAGATGTATATGATAATCCTGTCTTCTGTATGTCCCTAATTAGGCAAGCCTATCGAAAACAGATTTTACAGTGCAAACTTTGTCAACATAATTTTGCCAGTTGGAATATAACGAAATCTGTTAGAGATAATTGCAAATTGACTGCAGAAATTGTATAGAATCTGCCTTTTTATAACCATACAAGGCAAAATATTAAAATGTAGGGAATATAGTCCATTTAAATATCAATCTGTTACAATATATCTACTGGCAATCTGTTATGCCTGTGTCATACTATGCATTGGAGATTGAGGATTGCGAATTAAAGATTAGAATTCGACCAATCAGGTAATTTTAAGTTTAATCCGTTTCGTTCTAATTGGCTGAATTCTAATCCTCAATTTGCAATCTTCAGTCTCCAATGCATAGTGTGACACAGACATTAGCGTACATTAACCATTATTTTGTATACTGAAATTTTATTTCGAGATTTTTAATTTCATGTATTTTCAATAGATTAGAGCTTTACATACTGCGACAGTACAAAATGCTGAAGCCAAACTTAAGACCTTCTCAATTTACCGTTGGAATCCAGACAAATCCAATGAGAAACCATATATGCAGAAATATAAAGTTGATCTGAATGCGTAGGTTTTGTTTCATTGAACATATTAAATATTTTTCTAAGATTCTCCTTACATATATATTTTTTGACATTTAACATACTTTTTTCAGATGCGGTCCAATGGTATTGGATGCATTAATTAAGATTAAAAATGAGGTCGATCCAACATTAACATTCCGTCGTTCTTGTCGTGAAGGTATCTGTGGATCTTGTGCTATGAATATCGGAGGAACAAACACGCTGGCGTGTATCAGGTATTTCTACCTGGCATATAAAGTACCTGAGCTGAATAAGGTCCAACTAAATAACGTCCACTTTGATTGACTTTCATATCTCAAGTTATATGTGCAACATGTCTAATTAGATATACTTAATATATTTAAATTTTTAATTCTGCTAATAAAGATGACAAATATATTAGTCACTAAAAATAAAATGATTATGTTTCAGCAAAATTGATGGAAGCACAAGCACGGCGTGTGAAGTTTATCCCTTGCCCCATATGTATATTGTAAAAGACCTGGTGCCAGATTTAAATAATTTCTATGATCAGTATCGCAGTATACAACCCTGGCTACAGCGCAAAGACACGAAGGAAACTGGGAATCAACAGTATTTGCAAAGTGTGGAAGACCGTAAAAAGTTGGTAAGTGTGTGAGATTATTATATTTATTTGATTTTCTGTTTCAATTACAACTATATCTCTTTAATCTAAAACTAAATGTACAATCTAATTTTAACTGACATAGGATGGTCTCTACGAATGTATTCTCTGTGCTTGCTGCAGCACTTCTTGCCCATCTTATTGGTGGAACGGTGATAAGTATTTAGGCCCTGCAGTACTTATGCAAGTAAGCGCATCATATTATACTGTTTTAAATGCAATATTATGTAATAGAGTAATCAATCACAATAAGCGATTTAGGGCCGGTTGTTCCACCTTCGAAACCAAACTATGTGGTAATTTATCTGGGTAAGCAAAAGAGTAAAAGAATAAGAGTGTAAAAGAGTAAGACCTAAAATTTACCGAAAGGTGGAACAACTTAGCCTTAGAGAAAAATGACGCAAGTGAAAAATTCTTTAATAATGAATTGAATATTTACAAATCAGATAACACATCTGAGATAAATTAGAGATAAATTAAAATGTATGTAATATTGCTTGATATGTTTAATTCAATTTCATAGAGTTTCTCACTTATACCATTTCCTTCTTAGACTTTTCAACTATCATTATTTTCAGGCTTATAGGTGGATTATTGATTCGCGAGATACTCAAGCAAAGGAGCGTCTGGAGAAATTAAAAGATCCATTTTCAGTTTTCCGTTGTCATACAATCATGAATTGCACGCGTACCTGTCCAAAGGTGAGTTTAATTCACATTAGAAGATGCTTCAACTTAAATTAATTAGTAACATATAAGATAATTATTGTAGTAACATACAAGTAATTAGTGTCTTTTTGTTATATTTTGCACTTCGCTTGTTTTATTCTCCGCAAATGTTTTAGTAGTTTCTATCTATATTCTAGTTGCTACCTATTCAAGACAATTTAATTAACAGTAATAACAGTAATATATATATATATATATTAAAATTATATTTATTAAACTGATAGAGCGCAGATTATTAATAATTTATTTTGCTTACTCAGATCTTATTTTTCTGGTCAATCAATACATTTCTCTTATTTCTTATTTTTTACTACTGTTTACTTATACTGCCCCCGAAAAGTTTCCGGACATGGAACTTAAAATTGCTTAATATTCGGATACCATAACTCGGTAAAAAATCATCGCAGACAAAAAAATAAAGCTTTTTAAAGCTTGAAACTTATACTTTAGCATGCTTTTAACCGCCTTTCAAAAAAATCCTTTTCGGAGGCAGTGTATATTTATGTATTTAATAAAATTATGAGTACTTCAAGGACTACACAAATATGTATAAAGAAAAAAAGTAATAAGAATAAATCAATTATTCGAAATTAGGCTGAATTATAATTTAGCTAATTATAATAATTGAGTTAAGTTCAAAGATTATTGAATCAAAATACAAATACACTTTGTACAGGGTCTGAATCCGGGAAAGGCGATAGCAGAAATAAAAAAACTGTTGGCTAATTTGAGCCAGAAGCCACAACCGGATCTCACCGCATAGTTAAAGGAATACCAGGTAGAATAAGTTCTGTACGCTTATGTATTATGTACTACATGCAGCGAACATATATTTAGTGTGATATTTCATACGAGACCGGAGATGTGCGGATCCACATAATAAATAGCAGATAAAATATCCTAGAAATTAAAAGATTAATCAAGCAGCACTTGTAAATAAAACAGATTTCCCATAGAACTATGTTAGTAATTATTAATGCAGTAGCAATCCTTCAAACGAAAATTCGGGCTATGCTTTATCAGTTTAATATTTTCACGGTTCGGCGGCCATCCGGATCCTAGCGGTCTCACGCGATCGATTGTGTACCTCAGCGGTGCGTAATGTTATACCGAATATGTCTTCGTGATAGCGATTTTCATCCTAAAAAAAGAATCGTACAGTGCAAACCAATTTAAGTGTATTTGCTGTCGAATAGATACAAATCGTAAGCAACAAGAAAATGATAATGATATGAAAGACGTACTCTTAATGATAACATATATGCTTCAACTTCTTTGTCCGTCATTTGGCTATGCGTTTGTATGATCTGTTTTAAGGTCTGATAAACATCTTCTGCCATTGTGCAATCCCCACAAACATAAAAGTGACCGCGCTCATATACCACCATCTTGTAAATTTGAGGCGCTTCCGATTGGATCAAATCTTGCACATACGTCTGATATTTATATAAAAATACAAACTTCATTTCATATATCTTTTACATATATATATATAAAATTTTTATGAGTAATATTTAAATCTCTCTACAAATCTCTTTTTCTTAGATCTATAAAATAGCATATATATTAATACCTTCTTAAAACCAGGTTCCCGGGACAATGCCAAAAACACCTTATCCAAAACACCAACTTCCAACATTTCTTTCTTCTCTTGTCTATATAGATCCAAATTTCTTTGACGGCAGCCAAAGAAAAGCCAAATCTTGCCAAATTTTTGATCTGCACACAAAAATATCATATGTTTACATAATGTCAATATATATAGTATCATAAGGATATTTTATATTAAAGTTTATAATTATAAAATTAAAAAGATATCTATAACGAAAACATCCATACTTGGCTGAAGTTTCATCTGAGCAAATCGATGATGCCAGAACCCTCGGAAAGGAGCGATTCCAGTACCTGGTCCAACCAATATCGCCGGTGCTTCAGTTTCCGTTGGCATATAAAAGTTTGGCGCGCTTAAATATTAATGATTGTATTCAACATAACATCTTTACGTTCAATTGAGTGATGTTTAATTAATACAAAATTGATATTTCTCACCTCCGAACAAACACATACAGCAATTCTCCTTCAGATATTTGCCGCAGATAATTGGAGCACACGCCAAAATGTACTGGTCCAGAACCGTCTAGAATTTGTTAAATATAATTGAAAAGATATGATGTATCAGGTCACCATTAAATTGAATATATATAGATTATAAGTAGAATTCTTTGGAATGAAAGAGAAAAGAAAAGTAAGGCTTATACTTTGCGTTTGATATTGCACCACTGCAACTGTCAGATGTATTTGCCCTCGATGCACTTGAGGAGATGATGAGATGCTGTAGAATCTTGGTTGTAAAGGTGTTAGATGAAGCAACAGCAATGGGGCATATGGAGTCACGGATGGAAATTCATCCAAAACTTCGGCCAAATTAGGAAACTTCCAATGTCTCCAATCCTCGTAAGCCGCTGGATCCTATTCGAAGAAGCTTTCAAGTTTTGTGGATTTCACATTTTTTGCAAATTATTATGTTTAATGTTGCTGTATATGTTTAATAAACTGTGTCTTTAATTTTTAGATTGATTTTAATGTTTTTTTTTTTAGATCTCTCCAATCTTGAGCCTTTATTATATTAAAATTAAATATTTTTTAAATTAATAACATTAAATTTGAATTGTGATATGAAGAAAGGTTAATATATTTAAAATTTCTTTTCATTTAAAAAAACATTTTTAGCTTATAAAACTTTAAATTTTCATTGTATTAACTGTTTCCAAATTCTGCTACTTCTCGAGAAACAGCTACATTTATACATTTACATATTTACATATTTACAGAGGCCAGAAGATCAAGCTGCGTCTGTTCTTTTGCATTTGTAGCTATTGAGGCGAAATATCTTAACAGATTCGGCGTAGGTGGTGTCGTGATATCCAAAAATCGAGTTAACAACATCCTGAAGGAATTTGGTAAATATCTGTCATGAGGTATCCATGTTTTTACAATTCCTGAAAAAAAGCTTCTGTTATTTATTTGTAAAAAAGAGAGAGGAAAAATAAGGAAAATTAATATAAACAATAATATCCACCATTAGGAGTATGTGCTTGTTTCTGCATTTGCAGCTCGATCGATGTATCAGCTTCAAAAATAGATTGCACACGTTGTAAGATTCTCTGCACGAGGTCTGCTCGATTGCACGCAAACACACCTAAGTGATCCCCGGGTTTATAAGAAATATCCATGCCTACTATGTCATCCAATTCCAGAAGCAATGTTATTCCGCTGGACTCATCGCCGCTCAAGTTGGTCCTTCGAAGCAAATTGCACATCGTCACGTTTCTATTATGACATTTGCTTAATGCTTTGGCCATCGGTTGAGGCTCGGCTTCTACAAAACGAACTGTGGCTGCAGACAACGCTTCAGAACCCAGAGACAAAGCTACTTCCAATAACGTATCATCATCGTCCAAGCAGAATGTTTCGCATGCAATCGCAAAGATATCAGCTGCCCATTTCCGAAAGGTCTGCTCCTGTCCACACATCTCGTCACCTTGGGCTAAACGTGCTAATCGCTCTCCGCCCAACTCGCCTAACAAATTGTCAACGTAGCGGCCAAATGCACAAAAGTTTGGATACGCGGACGATCCTAATGCAAACACAGCGAAACGGACATTGCTGAGAGGTCCAAAGGTATCTTCGGTTTGCGACTCCGTCGTAGAACCACGCAAGGAATCTAGACGATCCAATTTTTTCGACCCACTTACTTCCGTTTGGCTGTTAGCTTTAATAAATGACTTTGAGGTCGCCAAACTTATTTTATTCTCGCTGTTTATATAAGCGTCGTTCATTTTCATTGCGTACAAATTTTGCGCAAAAACTTCTCCGTTTTCCGGCGGGTCACCATTTCCAAAAGTAGAAGTTATTACCAGCAGTAGAGCTTCGTGCTCTATGTTACTGATGTCATATTCTTCCATTGAAAGTACTTGGGAATGAAAAGCATGACCCAATAATTCGCCCAACTTTTCCGCATACATTTGAGATGTGCCGGTTTCCGTAGCAAACAGCACGGTCGCTTTTATTCGACGCGATAATGCTCGTCCGAATAACTTGGATGTAAATTTTACAGCTCTCGCAATCTGCTTGAAATGAAACTTTCGTCTTGGTTTTTTCGATGTTGCCTTCTTATCGCGTCCTTTCTTCCATATGTGAGTTTTCCACGCTGGATCTTGAGCATCGTAAGAAGGTTTTAAATGATAAAGCGCCATTTCCTGATGAAATACCGGCGTAGCAGAGCCAGATATTGGCGGCACGATCCATAGCCAATCTGCGGGACAACCGTTTCGAAGACGCATCTCATTTTCATAATGTTTCATGAAAGATTCTGAAGCGGTATGATGATCTACGATCGTCACGTTCTTCATTTGAAAGCTATGTAGTACTGCGACGTTAGCTTCTATCATTGCTTTATCTTTCCACAATGATGTGGATGTCCTTGTGTCTAGACCCATGTTCGTCGCTATTGTCTCGAGCATGTTATATCTTTGAGCATCGCATAAATCTCTGGAGCCAATCTCGGTGCTCATGTCCCAGCCATTGAAAGGTGCCGCTGTGAATACTAAACCTCCGCAATCGAAAACCATTCCAGACACGGCCGGAACGGCAAACCACTTAAGACTCAATTTCTCAAACCAATCATACCTATTATCCAAATATATATATATATATGTATATATGAGCTTTTATTTTTGACAACTTCGAAGATTCGAAGTTTCAAAAGAATTCAAATTTAAACGAAATTAATTTCGAATTTTCGAAATTTAAGATATTTCGAAGCTTCGAAAACTTTGAAACTCGAAGAAGTTTTGTCAAAAGTAACAGCCCTATTACATATATTTATCATATAATAAATATTATATATGACATTGCATAATTTTTTAATTAACGTAATAAGTTTAAATAATGATAGTATTTAAAGAACAAAAAATTATTCATATGTTAAATTTACATTAATTTCACATTATTTAACGAAAGCTTACGTAGGATGACTAAGAGGTACTTCGAATACCAAGTCGCTGGGAATGTCAAAATAATCTGGATCGTGTCCATTGGCAGACAGAACCAATGGCAGTATGTCAAATCTGGTTCGTGCGCCTTTCCATCCTAATTTCATGCAAACCTATTGGAAAAAAGTAGTGGCTTTGTTAAATTATTTTCGAAATGTATGTATTCTTTCTTTATAGAGAATTTTTTTCAAAAAGTTAGATATTTTTTCGGTTTTTATGATATAAATAATTAAAAGAAAAAAGATCTCATGAATATATATATATTGTGATTGAATTTTATAATATTCTGACCTCTGTGAATTCTACGTTTGCAGGATCGCCAAGAATGGTACCATCTGGATTTTTGTATCCTGCATAATTGATCAGTTGATTATTCCATACTCTGTAATCGTGTTTCCCATCAATACGCTGCGGAAATATTGTTATCGCGGATCTGAAAATTGTGCATAATAAATAATTAGATATATATCATACCCGTAAGTACGCCTGGCAGTTTTTTGAAATAATTTTTAGCTCTCTGTAATTTAAATCTCTATGTCAATATCTTCAATTTTATTCACGGATATGAACGGAAAGAATAAAGCTATTCTGATTCAGTATTTATATATCCTTTAATAATGAAAGTTAGAAAAAACTATAAACTGTATAAATCTCATATAAAAATACTTCACCTGATATTTCCTTTATTTGTACTGTATTTGATATGATTACATAAAGCCTCAAACATGCCACTCGTAGTTGTAACATAACGGCAATCAAAAACCTACAAATGCATTCGTTTTATAAACAAATCGACTAATAGATATAATTTTTCAGATATTTATAAACTATGTATAATGCATAAAAAATATTGTTTTATTTTTCGTGAAAGTAGACAAGTTATGATATAAGACAAACCTGTAGCT